GTCAGGGTTCATGCCAGTGAAACTTAATTGTTTCAATAAAGCTGTACCTCCGGTCTGCTATTTAATAGCCCAGATCAAAGTACAACCCGTTCTTCCTTCAGCCCCTCCCTACTGGCCACCGCGCGGTTGAGTTAGGGACAGGATACAAATAATTGACTTTCCTAGGGGACAAACTGGCGAGAAACAGCCACAGAAAAGGACGAGATCGACAAGTGCACAGGGCCGGAGCGATTTGCGTTGAACTGAAGCATTTGTGAGATCTGACTGACACTTCGTTTAAATCACCGATCCATGAGCACCCAAGTGTGGTTTAATTTTAGGATCATGTATTATAATAACAACAGCATCACGAAAGGAATGGAACGGAACCAAGGCTTAAAATTAGTGCAGTAACTGAACTACATGTAGAGTTACTATGTGAGAACGACGTGGTCAAGAAGGAATAAGGTGGAAGACAATTATGAAGAGCTTTGGAGAGAAACATTTTATCCCCCGCGTAATTGGATCCGCAATTTTATGATCCATAAAACTGCTGACTTAACAGCACAAAAGCAAGTACTGACAGGCCAAAAAGGAAAAATTGGTCGTTTAAAGGTGACCGAGGCGATGTGCAAGGACGAGTCACCTGACAAAGAACCCTGACATTAGCACAAACCAAAGGCAAATTAGTATATTCGTGGTTGAATTAGAACTTGACCATTGCTGTCTCCAGGGTAGTGCTCAGGTTTGGAGGCAAAACTGAAGTCAGAATATGTGTACTGGATATTACGCTACACCACTTTCAGTTATTTGGACACGTACTATACATCGGTCCGAAACTCCAAGGGATGAAGCCCGTAATTGGGATCAGTAGTGCGTATGTGGTTCAAGTTCACCGCAATAGCCTCTGACTCTCTTCAAACAAAACGGTCACACAAGACAAAGGAAATATCAAAAATTGCATACAGCACCGAACACAAAATCGACCTTCAGGTACTTTTGTGAATAACTTTTTTTATCATACCTTTGCCCTCCCTTAATCTTCAGTTATGACACACTGCTTGCCTCGGGCACATCGCAACCGAACAACACAAGATATCTGTGATTACGTGAGTTACTCTACAGCACGTTTCGCCAGCGATTTACCAACACCATATTAACTTAGCACATTCAACGTAAGTGTTCATTGTTAGGAACGCCTAAAATTGGACGTCAAATTGAAAGCTTGTAACAACTAGAAAATCTGCAGGAAAGGCCTACAGATGCATGATGCTTTTAGATCACTTTCAATGAATTGAAAAACATATATGAAACGCAGAAAAACCAGTGGGGTTAAAGTATTGAATGATCGAGTGACTTGGCGAATTCACATTTTCAATAAGTGCAGATACACACCCAGATGAAATGATAAAAAACAGTATAAAACTGAGATCACATTGACATTGGTCAATAATAAAAACAAGTTTGTAAATCTCCTCGTAAATATGCCTTCTGTTGACAGCTGATCTCAAGAGTAAGATCGAAAGAACGCTTACTCTCAGTCAGAATATCTGAATGTGCAATGGACGCGGACTAAGCCTGTGATTATCGTAATGGGGTCTAATAGAATTATATACCGTATCATTCACGCCCGTTGTGAGGTCACATATCGCATTTGAATGGGTGAATGATCATTTTTACGTGGGAAGAATAACTACGTTTGTTTGGTAACATTGTCAGACCTCACAAAATCAACTCGTTTGCGGAAAATGAACT